GAATATGGGATAATTAGGTCTAACATTCTGAGTTCGGGAACCCTTCTAAACTTGGATTCAGTGATGGGGGAACTCTTGAGAGAGGAGAGCCGACTTTTGACTGTTGCGGGAGTTAAAGGGAAATTGATGGATTCTGGGACTGATACTACTTTTATTGCACATGGGAATAAGAAGCCAACTACTAAGGACTTCTCAGAAATTCAATGTTTTGGGTGCAAAGGGTTTGGTCATATTGCCTCTCATTCTGAGAAGAAAAATATGTGCACTTACTGTAAATAGCTTGGTCACATTATTCCTAATTGTCTTTTCGACCAGATAAGGGTGCTCAAAATAAGAATAAACTATGTTCATATCAAGTTACTGAGGGCCATACTTCTGACATGACTACTACCAAGAGTGATTCCTCTGTTAAAGGTGAATCATCCATATCTGTGGATGAAGAAAAGAATCAATAATTGGTATCTTCTAATATCTCCTCTATTTTTTCTACCATTGGCTTGTTTGGTAAGCCCTCTACCTATTGTTTTAAGCCCTCACAAGTTTGGATTATTGATTCCAGTGCCACCAACCATATGACCAGAGCCTATCCCAATCACCCAAGTTAACTTACTAAAACTCATTATAAACACATTGTTATTGTTACTGTTAATGATGAAAAGCTAAGCATTGGTAGTAATGACCTGTCTCTGAAACTTTCACCCACCCACTATGTCCTTCCCTCTTTCAAAGACCTTCCTTGTTTCCAATCTTACTACCAATTTAATTTTTCTTGGCCAACTTGTTGATGAAAGAAATGTTCTCACTTTTTCTCATAATGGTTGTTTGATCTAGGACCAACACATTGCGAAGGTGAAAGGGAAGTGGTGTAGACTGGGTTGCCTATTTGCATTGGAGTTTGAGAAATTTACACGATTAACATCCTTGTCTTATCTTAGTTATTCTGAATCTAGTTCTATTAAGAAATAATGTATGGGATTTATGGCATAAACGATTGGGTCATCATTGTTTTGAAAAATTAAAGTTTTTGTTTGATTCGGGTTTAATCATGAACAAGATTCCTCCTGTTCGTACTTTTGATGCTTCATGTACTATTTGTTGCCTTAGGAAAAGTCATATTTTACCTTTCTTTCATAAATCTAAGTATGCTACTTCACCTTTTGAGAATATACACAATGACATTTGGTCTGCTTCTGTTACCTCACAATTATACAAATACTGTGTATTATTTATTGATGATTGTACCAAGTATACGTGGATTTACTTCTTATAGCATAAATCGTCAGCCTCATATAACTATTGTCCATTGCACCATTTGTTATGTTAGAGGCACAATTTCCCAGTAGGGATGGAAACAAATTGAGCCTTTCACAAGCTATTCAAGCTCGGATTGTGAAAAGCTCGATTTGGCTCGATCTAAACCAAGCTTTGACCTGAACTTGAGCCTAATATAGCTCGGCTCGCGAAACTAATCAAGCCTACATATAAAAATAATATATACATAAATATATAAATAAAAAATAAAAATATTATATATAATATTTTTAGTTTTTATATGTATAATAATAACTAGTTTTTGTAATTCTTAAATTTTCATTATAAAATAAAAAAATATATATATGTTTTTTTTATATTTATAATTTTTTAGTTTTATAGGAAGCTTGGCTCACAGTTGAGCTCGAGCTTACGAGCTTTTGAGTCGAGCCAAGCTCGAACTGAACTCGAGCCTCATGGCTTTCTGGCGAGCTGAGCTCAAATAACTAAAATATTCAGCTTAGCTTGGCTTAAATCCACCCCTATTTCTTAGGGACTGTTTTTCTCCTCCTCTTCTCTCATTCAAGTGAGAGCATATGTTGATGCTGATTGGGCTGGATGCCCCGACACTCACAGGTCCACTTTGGGATGGTGTATTTTTCTGTGTGATTCTCGCATCTCCTAGAAGTGCAAGAAGCAACAGACAATATCCAAATCTTCCACTAAAGCTGAGTATAGGGCAATGTCTTCCACTTGCAGTGAGATTGTTTGGTTACAATCTCTCTTTATGGACCTTGGTACTCAACTTCCCACTCATACTCCTCTTTGTGACGACAATACAAGTACCACCAAGATTGCTCAAATCATGTCTTCCATGAAAGGACTAAACATCGAAGTGGATTGTTATTTCATCCGAGATCCTTTCACTGCTAGCTCCATTTCTCTCCCTCATGTTTCTTTGGACATATCTTCACCAAAGCCATGACTAGGGCTCAAGATCTCCATCTTTCTGGGCAAACTAATGCTTATGTCTACACATCAATTTGAGGGGGAGCGTAAAGATTCTAAGGTTGATGTATAGGTTTATCATAGTCTCTTTTGCATAGTATTATTGTAACCTATAGTCTTTGTATTGTCATTTTTCTCTTTTATCCCTTTATGGGCACTTCTATAATTGTACATATCATTTTAATCTAATAGAGGCTCTTTGGCGTGGAGGCCAACTATTCCATTGACACCTTGAAACCATTTGTCTTCCTTCTTTTTCAAACCCTCTTGTTGTCAATATGATTTGCTACCTTACTAGGAATATCAAGAAATATTAAGGTAGCCTAACATGTGGAGCATTGAGTTCATATAATCATAACACCTTCTTGTGACCTCTAAGAAAACCTAAACATGGGTCAAAGGATAAACCAAACCACCCAGTGTGTGCATGATTGGGTGATTTGGTTTTCATGAATTCACAAAGTCACAACAATTTCTTGTGCCCATCCAATAAAAAGAACATGTTACCATCAATCAAGAGCATGTTTGGGACCGATGCCATTTTCCCAGAAATGATGCCACATTGATGCCACATAGGAGATATGATGTTGGGGGGAAATGATGCCTATTTGATTAGACATTTTTCCGAAAAACGTTTTCTCATACCACTCCTCGAAAATCGAGAAAGACATGATCTAAGAAAACGTCCTTTTTGACATTTTCTCATTTTTATACCATTGCTAGCAATGGTTTGCTATGTGGCATTTAAAAATGCCTAGGTGGCAGCAATGGTCCCAAACAAAAAAGAAATGTCATTTAAGAAAATGACATACCAATTTAGCACTGTTTTCTCAGAAAATGGTGTTGGAGAAACAGCATTGGTTCCAAACATTACCCAAATGAAAAACCAAATAACCTAGCAAAGGTATGTTTGGTATTGCCACAACAAATGATAGAAGAGCAGCCCACTATCATATAAAGTAGAGACTATCTCTAGGATATACTACCTAACTATGACAATCAGGTCTCACCAAGGTAGCTTACCATGACAATCAGGCCTCACTTAGTCGCCAAGATAATTTTTGCATGATGCTCTTGGATACTTTTATATTCTTAATTTGCTGATATTATAATAACAAAACACACATTATAAAACTAAATTGTTCACTTTGAGTTAAAATACAAGTTCCTTTTTTTTTTTTGAAAAAGGTAACGTAATATTTATTGAATCAAAAGCTGCACATACAAGTTTCTTTTTATTATTTTTCTTATTTCTTAGGATTCAATCAAGATGTATACTGTCTTGAATCCTTGAAGACTTCAAAACCGGAACTAATAAGCATGGGAGAGCTCAAAATTTTGTCCAATCAATACATATTGATTTTCTGCAACATTTATTAAAAATTAAAGCAAAGTACAAGTAGAGCAGAGGAGAGATAAATTCTTTTAACTCTCCTCCCTACAAAACAAAAAATCACAATACAGCCCAAAACATTTGATCTCTTCCCACCCCTGTTTTTCTAGTACATCAGCAAACAAACAAATTAGCACCCCTGTTCTTCCTCTTCTTTCATCCTTTTCTTTTCTTCTTTTCCTAGGACAAAAATAGAGGCTCAATCCCTCTATTTTCTGAAATTCCTTTTCTTTCTTCCATTCTTTTCATGAATATGTTGATTTTCTATGTTTTAAATGAAGTTCATACATTTTTTATGAAGATTTTAGACAATTAGGCAGTGTTTGGCACCGCGTTCATCTCGTGGACCATGGGATGAAGACCCGTTCGATTGGGTGTGGACGGGATGTGGACCGGTCCCATCCACACCCCAATACATCGTCAACGGGAAAAACTCGTGGATACGTCCCCTCCACGGTTTATTTTTGATCCCATGCTTCAAGGAGCAGGGGTTAGAGGTTGTGTGATCTAAGATAGACTACAGATACACAAAGATACACCTTCAATTTTATCTCTGAAATTCCTGTAGTTGCATTTCGGCTGTATGCTCTAAAATATTAATTATTTTTACTTAATTTTTTATTTTTTATAAAATTTTAATGTTTTTATCAATAAAATAATATTTTTAAATATTTAAAATATATTTTTTAATTATTTTCTATTATTTTATAAAAAATTAACATTTATTGGTTAATATTAATTCATTGATGCATTTATTTAAATATTTATCATATAAAATACAAAAATTAGATATTTATGATTAACTGTGTATATCATTCATAAAATGTATATGAGATACATGGAATCAAAAAAGTGGACTGTGGTGTGGTGTGGATTGGTCCCTGCCACACCACGCTATAGAACGCCACTGTGAGTGTGGACTGGACCAATCCACACAGTTTGTCCATAGTTCAGAACAACTGTGGACTGTGGTGCGGTGTGGATTGGTCCCTACCACAGGGTGTGGTGTGGACCAGTCCACACCCACCAATTTCTCATCCACACTACAGAACACCCCCTTAATAGTGACGGCTGGTTTCTACTTTCTATGGAACCTAGGGAATTACCCTAGGATTCATGATTTTCATTCAAAAAAACACATCACCTAGGCAATTACGACATGGTGCCTTTAATCACCTAGGACTTTGTGCAAAACATGACATACAAGTTCATTTTATCAAAGAGATTAAGATGGCTAACCAGGATGCAAGCTGCTTGCATATACTAAATATCTACTAAAGGTTATAAGATAAATGTTCATGCACATAGTAAGTATCATAATGTCTCCTTCAAGACCAAGAGAAAGCACCTTCTGCAAAACCCATTAGGAGCATCCAAATTTGCATAATCAAGGCTTCACAACCCATCCTTACTGCCTAACTGCTAACTTATTGACCAGCTCACTTGCCTCCAAAGCCTCCTCCAGAAAAGAAAAAAAAAAAAAAAACACCATTTTGATCCAAATAAGAATGATCCGTTCTATCTTCATATAGTTCAATTAATTAGACACCTCTAATCTGAAAATCTGAATAAGAAGCATCAAATTTTGATTAACAACCATAATCATATATGCACCTACCAAAAAAAGAAAAAAAAAACATAATCAAATATACCAACAACAAAACATGAATGAAAAGAATAGAAAAAGATCAAAAAAAGTGGAAGCCTCAGTCTTACAGTATTACCTTCTTAAGGGCAACTTTTGGGCATTTGTTGTAAAGCTTTTCTTTAGCATGCAGTCAAGGGATTCCTTCGTGCAGAGAAAACCTCAATTTTGTAAAGTAACAAGCATGTCTGAAGCCTTGAGTCAAACTTTGAGTTCAAATTCAATCTCTCACCTTCCCAAAAGAACTCAACAGGAGATAACTACCTCCATTAAGACTTGGGTTGAAATTCTTTGGTGCCTCAAATTACAATCCCAACAGCTTGGAAAAAAATTAAATTAGATAATTAATGAAACCAATCTTAATCTTGGGAGGGAAGTTCATGAGTTACATAGCATTGTGGACCACAGTGTGGACACCTTAATCTCCCTTCTGTTCCTACAAAAATAACAACTTCCCCAGTCCATCAAGAGCCATATACAACTCCATAGCTTGAGGATGTGATTTATCTCCAACTACAAATTCATGGACTGCACCTTTTACTTGGATCCAACTACGTCCAGGAGGCTTTTCCTTCCTCTGTTCTCCTCTCATCTCCTCCCGAACATGCACAGCTTCACACCATTGGTTCTTCTCTGCATACAAATTTGATAAAAGCACACAAGCTCCACCTTTATATTGACATAATGATTCAATCTTCTTCAGAACATTTTCACCCAACACCATGTTGTTGTGGACTCTACAAGCACTAAGCAAAGATCCAAGAATTTCCAAATTGGGATCCATTGGCAGCTTTTCAACAAAACCATAGGCATGCTCAAGAAGCCCAGCTCTACTAAAGAGGTCCACCATACATCCATAATGCTGGAGCTGGGGTACAATGCCAAATTCAGCTTCCATGGACTCAAAAATCAGCATCCCTTCATCTACTAGCCCTGCATGCGCACAAGCAGACAGAACAGCAATGAATGTAATGGCATCTGGAAGAACTCCAGTCCCCTTCATTTGCCGGAACAAAGAAATTGCATCCCTGCCATGGCCATGCATGGCTAAGCCTGCAATTAATGCAGTCCAAGAATACACATCCCTATGAAGACCTTGTATTTCATGGAAAACTTGGTAGGCACAATTAATATTCCCACACTTACCATAAGCATCTATAAGCGAATTCCTTACAGAAATATATGCAGTCCATCCAATCTTCTCCGTATAAGCATGTAAACACTGTGTGTGATCCAAAGAACCTAAATTCACGCAAGCTGATATTACAGAGATTATAGTAGCAACATTGGGCTGTATATATGACTCATCACCAATCATTTCAGTAAAGATGAAGAAGGCCTCAGTATAAAAACCTTGGGAGGCAAGACCTGAAATCATGGTTGTCCAAGACACAACATCTCTTTCAATCATTTCATCAAACAATTGCCATGCATCCCCTGGGGACTCACAGACCAAATACAGGTTGAGAAGTGCATTCTGTGCAAACAAAGAAGTAGCATACCCAAATGCTAAAACATGACAATGGACTTGTTTCACCAAACCCAATTCACAAGAAGACTTACATGCCTCGAGCAAGAAAGGAAAGGTGTATCTATCAGGCAAAGTTCCTAGGCGAAGCATTTCAACGTAATAATGAAAAGCAAGTTTATTGTCAAACGAATGCTTAGAGAACGCAAAGGCCCTGATCATGGTATTCCAAGAGAAGATACTGGGTCTCTCAATTTGGTTGAAAATAATAGTTCCATGACTTCTTTTTAGGTCAGCCTCCTCATCTTCTGAAGTGCAAACACAGAAATAAAGAACACGGCTCCTCACAAATGAGTTTCGGTGGAGACCAGAAACAAAGATGTAGGACAGGAACTGTTTCAATTGGCTCACAGACTTGCATTGCTCTTCAAGGGCATGCAGACGAGGGTATCTTTGATATAATTCGTTCTGAGAAGCCCAGTCAATGGAGATGTTTTGGTTTATAGTGTTATACTGGTTTTTGAGAACACTAGCACCAACAGCAGGGAAGTTACGAAAATGGTATATTTTGCAGGCATAGTGATTAATAAATGGGCTTGACCAAATCTTATATGTGCAATATCTGCTTGACATGCCCAGAATGTTTTGTCTCAAAATGCAATTTAGGGCCGCCGTGCCATGTGGAGGAAACATTATGGTTGAGAACATTTATAAGCTGGGGCATAATTTGTATCATGGTCTGGATTATTGAACTATTTTTACGAGTATTGAATATGTGTGATGACTGCAAAAAAAAAAAGAATAAGTTAGATTATCAATGTAGACTTCTCTTGTAATTGAACAGAGATACACATTAATCATCAAATAACTAATAATGTATATTCACAGAGATTCTCTGTTACGATAAAAAAGGGAGAAAAAAAAAAGTGCATTTATAGAGATGGCATGATTCAAAAACACACAAATTAAAAAACAGAATCATATTAGATATCATCACGGGAATCTTCATATAAATTAAAGTTGTGAAGCTATCAAATGCTTTGGCTAATATTTATATATACCATGCCTCTTTCAGAAATGCAGAATTGCAAACGATTTCCATTTAGATGAACAAAAGTTCCACTCAGATATTCCATTAGTTAATAATAAATAATAATTGCCCAGGAAAAGCCGGGTTGGAATAGTTCAAACTAGAAAAGAAAAGAAGGGGGCGCTAACCACGATGTCGTTCAATTGCAATAAAAAGCAAAGTAAAGAATCATGTTCATGGGTCAATGTTTAAATCAAGGTCTAAGCGAAATAGCGAAGCAACAACTGTTTATGAAAGCAGTCAAATATCTAATCGATGGTGACGGTCAAAGTCAATGGGAAATTAAAACAAACACATAGATGGTACTCAACTCGGATCATCGTTTGCAGTTGCAGGGACCGAGCGGCAGGGCGTACCATGTCGGGTCGTTTAGGGCGATGGTACTCAACTCAACTCAGCCACTGCAGTGCTACTATGGTCCACGCTTACTTTTTTGAACGATAGTGATCGTACCGATATACCGGTATATCCCTGCGCGCTGGTTATCTCTTTCCCTACTTTTTTTTTTTTTTGGTGGAATATCTCTCTCCTACTTAAGATACACTTGCATTGGCCTCACCTCAAGAGGACCATCACTTCTTTACTTCCTTGACAATCTACTCTCTTTCACTTCTTCTACGTGCATCAATTAGTTCATCATACTTCATAATATCCCCTACAACTGCAACTTGGACCCGGTTAGTCCAAATCCAATTCGAAAAATTGGGTTACAATTTCATTGGATTAGAGCTCAATATATTTATTTATACTACTATTTAAAAGTAAAAAATTGAAAGTGTGAGCTTTTATTTGATAAATATCTTTATTTTTTAATTTGGCTCTCTAATTCTTAATGATAAAATATAATTTGAACTATTACTTTTCATCTTATTTAATTCTCTTTTATTAATTAAATGTTGTATTAGCAAAAGAGTGCGTGCTTAATATGTGTATATAGTGTTAAATATATATGGATATTATATACTAGGTTTTGACCCACTTGTTATGTTAAAAATTAAGCAAAATTATTTTTACATAAAAAAAATGCAAAAAGATTCTCATCTTTAGAAAGTAGATTGATTATTAAACATTGAACCAAAAAAACAATTCCAACTCAGGATTGCTTAAAGTTCGAAACTTAGGTCTATTCTAATGGATTAAGAAACATCATTATATAAGTATAACTAAAATTTATCATTTGAAAATTCAACATGTTTAAAGCATGATGGTAATAACAACCTAATAGGTAGAAAGCAATGTTCTAAAAATCAATTCGGAGGCCAAACCACTCTTGTCTCTAGATCGCGTGTATCACCAGTTTGACCATTCAAGTTAAATGGGCAGCAAAGATAACATACATACATACATACATGTATATATATATATAGTTTTAATTTTAATTTGGTTTGCAACTGAATATTGAATAACATTAATAAAATAAAATCCAAATGATCAAAAATATTATAAATTATTAATAAAACCACCTAAAAGTAGTTTTGAATCTTTTGATAATGTGCATCATGTTACTTATATAGAGTTAAACCTATACCTCTAATAAAAATACAACATTTAAACTAATTTGACCATTATATACAAAACCCTAAATATTGAAATCGAACCCAAATCAGATCATATGGGATTTGAAAGGGGTGGATTCATATTAAATCCTAACATAAATGGGCCAAATTTGGATCACCTTTTTGCCGGATCTTTGAAATCAAAATGGGACAAAAAGATACCATTCCATTTGCAACCCTATTGATAATTTTCAGTTTAAAGGCAAAAGTTTTCTAGTGTAATATGATACTCTTGAAGAACCATGACTACGAAAAAACTATATGTCCTTGTACATATAATGATATATTGAGTTAAGTAAGCGAGCCTTCTCAACAACCCTAATTATCAAAAAAATAAAATAAAATCTTCCCAAACCAAAGTTATCAGGTTTAATTAGTTAGGGCCTTAGGAGTGACCTCAACACAAACTCCATACCCAAACTCAGATACTTATTAGCATTCTTATATTTTTAATATTGCCTTAATTTTAATGCTGACCCAGAGGCTGATCTATATGATTTTGCCTTGCTTTTGGTTCAAGTCATAAAAATCAAATTAGAGTAACTTATATTTTTGCCCTTTCATCTCGTACATTGTCGGGGATATTTTTGAATTTTGACACCAATGTAGGGACAATGCTTGCAAAAAGACAAAAGAGAATTTTCATAAACCCTCATAATTCAATAGTTTGGGACATTTATACTTCGACCGAGAATTTTCAACCTACAGACCCACCTCAACCTGAAACCTTCAGCCTATGGGGTCTAATTCAACCTGGTGACTTGGGCTCATATACCCTAAACCTGGCATGTATAGGCCTATACATCATAGGCATATACATTCTAGACCAGGCTACCCAATATGCCCAAGGCAGATGCTCTATTCTTGTTGGCAAGGTTAGGTCTACTCACTTATTTTTTTAAGTGAGAAAATAGTTTGAAGCAAAGTTCAAAGTATCGACACGTATTGATCGATACATATCATTTCGGGACCCTTCCGATATGCCCCTACAGTGGGTGTATCGGGGGTCTGACTGGTTCAGGGGGTGGAGTCATCTTAAACCAGTCCCCCTGAATCGGTTGTGAAAAAAAGAAAAAAACCAATAAAGCACAGTATCGATTCGCCCGATACACCCCTACCGGCGCATCGGGCATATCGATATTTTGAACCTTGGATTAGAGGTCAGTAAGACATCATGTTAATGCACATGATGAAGAGCAGTTAAATGCATGTCCAGATGCCATGGCGTCCCTGTCTTAGACAAGTGCATAGGTTGGGGATCCTGTCACCGATATGGCTGATGTGGCAAGATGCCATTAGCCATACACAGAATAAACTAATGGTTGTAGCACCCTAGAGTGTTGACATGATCCACAAGTAGTGTAGGTCCCACACTACATGAAAACGTATGTTGAAGTGTTCTCTTAGGCTGCGTTTGGTGGCATATCCACAAGTAGTGTGGGTCCCACAGTACATGAAAACGTATGCTGAAATGATCTCTTAGGCTGTGTTTGGTTGCAATGCAAACACAAATATATACTGCATATTTACCCTTTTTTCGATTTATAAATGCAAACATGGTTCGCATTTTAAACCGTTTTTGCACTCATCTTGTTTGTTGGAAATCGGTGCAAAGTGTAGGCCCATCATTAAATTCTCCAATACCTTAACTTTGGTCAAAAAATTAATTATTAAAAGAACACAAAATTGTATCTAAAAAACAATTATAGCAATGCTCTCTTCTCAAAGTACAAAAATGCCAGAAAATACATTTTTGATTTGATAATCATTACTTTTTTATATATCAAACAAACGCTTACAAATGCAAAAAGGGATACATAAATACCTCGGTTCGATGTTTGTATTGCAAACAAATGAAGCCTTAAGTATTTCTCAAGGTTCAAAATTTCGTCACGTATCGGCCGATATGTATCGATCCGACAAGTTTTCGGCACGGTACATGGTACCAAATTGAATGTGTCGTATCTATTCGTTGTATCGATGCTGTATCGTTATTGGTGCGTTTTGGCACCATATCAGCCGATACAATACAATTTTATTGTGGCAGAATTGCAAATAAAACTCCCTTCGAAAGAGGGCTTCTATTCCAAACCCTCTTTTTTTTTCAAAAAGCTTTTTAACTTTTCTATTGACTCAAATCTTGTAAATATTTTCCAAAACATCTATAAATTTGCAAGATTCAACAAGTTTTTCAAGGTTGTRAAMAAAKRAGYGAAAMTAAATATGTTTTTTTCAAATTTCTTTTACATTTTCAGCCAATGTTAGAAAAGATAAGGGGAAAGAAAGTGGTTTGCCCCCTACCCCTTCGGCTGGGGAGCCAGACCCCCCCCCCATCCCCCTTTTTGATGTAGCCCAATTTATTCGGCAAGCTCGCTTTGCTCGCTCGCCTCCGCTTCGACAAGACCCCCCTTTTAACAACTATTATGCATTTTTGTTGTTCTTATTATAAAAGATTTTTATTAAAGATAAAGAAAAAAAAATGAAATCCCCTCTTCCTCCTTCCTCCTCTTAAGGAAGCTTTCACCTCTTTGTGTTCAAGAGGCTTATGCCTCTTGCATTTTGAACTATGCTTCACGCCTCTAGGTAGTGGAATGCATCTATGTTTTAAAACATTGATATTTATTTTTTAATTTTTAGAATAAAATATGCAAAATAATTATTTCATCTATTATGTCTATAAATCCACTCAATTTTTTGTTACATATTTACTTTTCTTAATTTTAATTTAATTTTTAGAATAAAACATGCAAAATAATTATTTAAATAAAAATAAATAATTATTTAGTGTTTAAATAATTAAAATAAAATATGCAAAATAATTACTTGATCTATAATGTCCATAATTAGATAGTATGTTTTTGTTCCCGACTTCCCGTTTATTGATTATAATATATTTTTTTTCATAAAACCCACAAACATGTTATTTTTATGCATAAATAGCTCATTATGTCTTATATTTAATAATATTAATATTTATTTATGATTTATTAGAATATTTATAACATTTCCATGTGTTTGCGTATCCAAGATGTATCCCGATACGTCTCTTAAATTTGCCTTTCTGATATTTTGAACCTTGGTATTTCTTCATCTTCTTCTAAAACTCATTATAATCATCACATCACATTTTATTTTATTTTTTAAAATAATATTTAATTTCATTTTCTCCCCACTCTATAAATAAGGGTGGAAGGAGCACATTTTGGGGGGGGGGGGACTTAGACTAAAAGATTGGCCATGTCTCTCTCTACGAACCACTTTCCTTTCTCATCTCTTCATTTCCTAGTGGCCCTTTCATGGCATAATGTTCTCCTCGGATTTAACATACATGCATAGCACGTGGCCCTTGTATATATATTTAGAATAAATAATTATATTCTACATGCATCATATATTTGTTTTACTTAGATCTAATTTATATTTTTTATAAATTAAAAAGAACTAAAAATTGAGATTTGAGGTCCAAAAAAACATTTTTTTGACAAAAAAAATTGGTGGGTTGGCATCTCACCAAAAGTTATTCGAAATAAAAAAAAAAGAAAAAAAGAAAAAACACCACCCCAATTCGACCACTGAGCAGAAACCCAGGTTGATGGTTTTTTCACCAGGTTGAAGTTGAACGGTCCAACTGGATGGTCAACAGCGGGTTGAAAACATTGATCGCTCCCAGCCCAATCCCCCACTCTACAAGTTTAGGTTCCTATCTAGATCATAACCAAGGAAGCAAGGACCATTGTTAGGTAAAATCCCTGTGGAAAATGGTATATTTCAAACAGGTAGCAAAGCTTTTAAGCCAAAAGAAATAGGTCAAGAGTTAAATAAGTGGGTCTCCTTGAACCCGAAGCGACCTTGCTACTCGGACTGCTCATGGGTTTGGTGGTTCAACCGAGCAGCTAACCCATTGATCCGATCAAAACTGTCAAAAAAATCAGGATCCCATCAGCTTTCGGGCCATTGGTTGATTGGGTAAAAAATGGTTTGAAAACACTGCATTGCATAGCCGATATACATAAACATACGACAACCTTTGCAAGAAAGCAAGTTTGCAAGAAAGCAAGAACTTGTCTGTACGAAACAAATGCTCCATTTCAAACACTTCCATAGAGTGAATTTGGGGCTAATACTGATGTAACGCTAGAAACCATTGAGTGTGCAAAGAAGAAATATAAGCTATCAACCCAGAAATCTAGAATGAGTTCCAGGACTGAGACCTTTGTCTAAAAGGTTATTGTTCTAGAAATCATTCTAGAATACCATCCATGATGGAAAAACAGATGAATATATATGATGCAGTGTTCACAAATTTACATAAATCTTTTGGATATTCCTTCCATATACCACACTATGGTCGTGGAATTCAAATCCATGGCAAGTTTACTGGTCCAAAGGCTCGACAGCAGTCTTGAAGAGAAGGATGTAAACCTTGTCAATGGAAAAGTATAAGAAACCTCCTAGTGAATGCGTGACATAAGAACCAAAGCTCGTTCCAACGATGCAGTGCCAAGCTGGACCATATGATGAATCAAACTCCTGTACAACCAAAAGAAAACCCATTAAAGTTGTTCACAATCCGAAGATAAGAAATTTTTTAACTTGTAAGTTCAATAGAAAAGTCAAGGCTTCAAGCAGGCTTTTCCAGCCATCACACCCAAGCACAATTGTTTTTCTATTTCAACGTGAAATTAGTTAAATTTGCCTAATATCCTGTGTAAAGAAGGTAGGAAATGAATAGACAATTCCAAGATTTGGTCATAGGAGTATCATGTCTTCGTTGAAAAAGAAATAATTCCTTAGTTTTTAATAAAAGATCTTCAATAAGAGTGGTAAACTACAGAAGTTACTCAAATGTGGTCTCAACAGAAACATTGTTTACAATTTAATGTTCTGCACCATGCTAATCATTCTGTATAGACTTCTGCAAGAATCAGGGAAGGATTCTGTACCAAGTTATTCAATTCAAGAGCCAAAATAAGCACCATGATGCCTTTATGGATGGGGAAATTCAAAAGCAACATTAAGTCCAGAAATTTCTTTTCAAACTCGTGACATTGAATGGAGCTGTCAGCAGTAAAGAAGCAATGTAGTATAACCTATGCATGGATTTGTTAACATAAAAACCTTTTGAGAGATGAAAAAGAGATTTTTTTGATAGTTTAAGCAAGAGAAAAATCCTTCCTATCAGTATTATTCCACTAAGAAAAAACTTCTCTTTCCAAATAAGTGAGACAATGTGGAATAAACCAATTTGAATTTACCAGTCTGCCAGTGAATTTTTGCAGTTCTGGAGCTATCCTCATACTAACAGTAACCTTGCATGGAAGTATGATTAATTTAAATTACTCTACACTCCAAGAGTACGAGTTGTAACAGATCAGGGGCCAGAACAAACTCAACACAAAGTATTTGTTCTTACTTCTTAGGTCTCGTTCATCTTCTAGTAAAGATGAACAGGTAATTTGGTGGATCCCATGGAATTGCAAGAACCCCACATTCGGCCGCCGCTATAATGGGGCCCACAGAAAAAAAAATTTGGAGAGTATTGGTTACCCTCCTGGAGGGTGGGTAAGTAACATACCCACCCACTGAAAACTCAAATCACTCCTCTTATCGTGCCTTACCTGGGTAACTAATCGCCTAAACGAACACTGTATTTGTAAGTAGCTGGGCAACATTTCCCCAGGAATCACTTGCCTGGGGAAACACATTACCCGGGTAGCACAAAAAGAACGAGGCCTTACTGTCAACTTTTAACCTGTCAAACAAGACTACTGTATTGTAATTTACTTGGCTCTAACTAGACTCTCAAAGGTTGAGTGGACACTGTAGACCACCATATAAATTGCTAAACATGAATCACATGAACATTTTAAGACTCCAATGCTTTCAAACTTGTAACAGTGACTAGACCAATGAGCCGAGCATTTCTCTTATTTTTATGATACAATTAACATGGTAAGGCACCAAGGACAACCTGACCTGGATTTGGTTGTGTTGTCAAATTTCCATTGCAAAATCCACCATAGATTAGGAAGTTTTCAGCCCCAGCCCAAGTTGAAACACTATAAGGAATTCCTATGCCATCATAATACCTGAACAAGCTAAGTCAGATCAAGTCAAGTCAACTATTCCAATCATCTGGGTCACCATGCAGCTCCTGTTTTCTACAGTTCCCCTCTATCTAGGCCACATCTGACTACTTTTTTTTTTAATCTATAACAAGTAACTATCATTAAAATTAATGACAATCAAATACAGAAAAGAAGGGGAGATAATCTCATAGACTAAAATAACCAGATATGGATGTGGATGCTGATATGTACACAGAAAGTGGGGACACATGGCTGCTAAATTTAATTAAACTTCAAAAGCATATATTCTTTTTATAGTATGATTTGTTAAAATATACCATTTACAAATTTTAGGAGTGCTCATGCTATAAGCTATACTCCAGAAGTGTTCATGCACTATCTATTGCCATATAGATCACCCATTTTGTTCAATATAGGATGGATATGTTAGAATGTACAGACATCTGGGTATCATGCTTCTAGACACGTTAAAGCTAAATAAGAAAGGAAAGAAGGATATAATTGAAGGATGAAGATATTTACCAGCATGACTAAAACATAGACCATCACAGCATCACCCAATGTTGATCAGTAATGACTATTATTAAAAATAGCACATTAATTTATTTAACAGCTATGTAGACAATTCATAAGAAGTGTTATCCAACATGGGTTAAAATGAAGGAAATTGGCAGTTATAACAAACAAGTAAACTAGAATAGGAAGATAAAAGGTATCTTGACTGAGCAGATACCAAAAGCATTACCGTCAATGCCATAGAACTTTATATTATATTTATGGGATCCTATTTTTCTTTTTCCCCATTTTCTCATTTATTTTAAGGGAGTTTTTGGTTCCCATTACCTTCTGTTAATCTAATGGAATGCCTCTTTCCCACCCTCATTCTTGTCTCTGTAGAGAAGCTAAATAACAAGATAGACATATGAAAAAGAAATCCATAAAAGGCCACTCATCTCAATCTTCAGAAACCAGAGGGATCCTGTTTCTGCAGAAGGTAAATGTAACTTTTGATTCTTGACTTGTTTTCTATTCTATGAGCTATGCTTGGATTTTGTATAGGCTATGAACTACTTCTGGGGTTGTGGATGCAACATGGATAAGGCTCATCCCAAATTGGACTAGCCTAACCTATCTTTAAGTTGCATTAGGCTAAAATGTATCTGGTCTGCACTTGAATTAGAGAAGTTAACTTGGAATAAGATCAGGTTAGGCTAGGATTAGAGTCTTGAGTAACCTCACCCAAATTGTCCACCGTTATGCGTATGTCCTTGGACATTTCTCTTTATATGCTTAAATACATTGAAATATATAGCAAGGGGATGTTTTGGGTCAAGAGTTCAAAATTTTCAAACCTCTTGTTGATGAAAAATCTTACAGACACACATATATGATATCACACAAAACCATATATCAATGAAGACCTAATCTCTGCTCAACCCAACTCAACTATGTTTAATTGTTCATTTTCTATTCTATTTTCTTTTCTTTTCCTGGGAGGCATTTCTTTAAAAAAGTTCTTTTTTTTCAGAAAATATAGTTTTAATCTTAATGAGGTTTTTATTCTTCTGGCCCCAACTATAGATTTTACATTAAGGATAAACATGGAATTAATAAGAAAATATAAAACAAGTTTGCCTGTGAATCTGTGATTATATTTTATCAGAAATATAAAGAAGTTTCACATTAAAGGAAGACACTGAAAACACCAGTGCTGCTAACAAATAAAATAGATAGATGGCAGAAGAAACTTTGAGGAACTCATACCAAAAAATTTGGTACTGTATAAGTTACTGGATACCACCAAAAACTTAAACATACTGTACTGAACACCAAGAAAACATGCGAACAGCCTTTGCTTGATTGAAAATAGGTAGTTCGGGTATTAAACCAAGCTATCAATAATGGATTCCTCGCTTAGAACAAGAGCGGATTTCAGATGCTCCAAGAAACTGTCTGTGCTCTTATAGTAAAAGCAAGCTTGCTTATAAGTTCTACGCTTATGCACCTATGGAACACCATGTCCAAATGCATGTAAGATCAAATCCCCAAAAGCCTAAGTGAGAACCAAATGTTATTATATTAAAATGAAATAAAATTGAATTTAACAACTGCAAACCCGAATCAAATAATCTACATAGTGTTCTAGAGATGAGCTGAAAACATCACAAACCAGGACCAGCAAATCCAACCCCCCCTCCTCCAAACCAATCAACAAAAAGAAAAGAAGAAGGGAAAAAGAACAAAGAGGGAAAAATAAGAAAGAACTTTTGATCCAAATGAGAAGAATCCATGATGGCTTCAAGTGGTTTAACGAACTACATAACATTCGATCACACTACCAAGCACTAAACTTTTACTAAGAACCATGATCAGAACACTTACAGAAAAAGAAGAAAAAAAGACCAGTCTTACTATTAAAGTATTACCTTCTTAAGGGCAAGTGCGAGGCGTTTGCTATCAAGCTTTTTGGGCATGGAGTCCAGGGATTCCCTGGCGCATCTAAAAGCCCGGTTTTGTAAAGCAACAGGCATGTCTGAGGCCCTGACTCGAATATTGAACCTCTCCTTGTGGTCTTTCTGTTCTTGCTGCTCAATCGCTTTCTTCTTCTGTATGAGACTGTTCAAGAATCTGCTTCTTCTCTCTAGTTCTTCCTCTGCTCCCTCCATTTGATCCTCTCTTTAACTGTTTTTCCTTTCCATCAACAAATACTCGTCTCTGACCCCCGGCTTGAAGGAGAGACAAAGAGAAAGGAACTAAAACTGAGAAAAAAAAAGTGGAAAAGAAGAAATGAATGAATGGAAAGGAAGAAAAGAAAGAAGAGACCAACTACCAGTAGCCACTAACCAGTCTCGAGTGTGTTACACAAATCTCTTCCTTTCAAAGCTTTGCTTTTTCTTTCTTCTCTTTTTCTTATTTGTGTTTCTGCGTGCCCATGGGAGATTGGAGTAGAAACAGTTAATTTATTTATCTCTATATAGTATATTCAATAATCTACTTATCCACCAAAAGACCCTTCTGTTTGGACAGTAACCCTTCGCCCATTTTTACTTCTTTGATCACTGAAACAGTGAAGCTGAAGTGCTGACCAGTCTTTTGCTTTTGAAAGAAGTTTTTTTTTTTTTTTAAATATTTTTCAGTCCCAAATCTCTGTCCTAAAACCCCAATACACGTCGTTTTACTTTGGATGATCAGGGAGAGTCTGAATCATCTTGCACGTTAACTTAGCAAATAAAAGACCCTTCTGTTTGGAACTGGATAGTAATCCTTTGCCCATTTTTGCTTGTTTTGGTGACTGAAACAGTGAAGCTGAAAACTTGATTAAATTTAAGAAGGTGTTTTAAATTCTTTTTCACCGTCCCAAATCTCTGTCCTAAAATCCCAAAACAGGTTCTTACTTCAATTACAGTATGGATGAGCAGGAATCATCTTGCATGTTAATTTGGCAATTCAATTAAAGGAATGTAAAGTGTCTTAGGAATAATGATAAGGGGCATTTTGGCCGGACAAAGCAGCTAAGTGGACATGAGTCCGTAAATTGCTCAGGTGATTTGGCACATTTTCTTTGTTTAGGAACCAACAAACGACCAAAACAGAAAAAAGAGAGATTTGGAAGCAAGACCAAAAGTGGACACTTTATAAGGAGCCTAGTTTCTGAGACAACAAACGGCATTCGCGGAGAAAAAGAAGCGGCTACAAGGCCCACAACGATGACTTTTGAAATTTGGTCGGCATCCCTTTTGGCTCCTTCTATGGCTTCGAAGTTTGCACACCTTAACCCCCAAATAAGCGTGCCAAACAAAAATTCTCTCTCTCTCTCTTACATACACACAACAATGGACAGGTCCATTGATATAATTACACCACGTGGCAAAAGTAAAGAACAGGTGGTACCCCTAGTGGGAGTGAAATGGCATGTCAAGGACTGGACCAGCACCAATCCATTTATGAGTTGTGAGTCTGGTGACCAACCAGAGAGGCGTGGTACCTTGTTGGCTTGGCAAGTGGCAACCCATCTTTGTGTTTTCCCCTGGTGAGGCGGCCTATTACTTTATTAAAACTATCATATGGGCCATGTTACAGGCTTTGCCAAAAGAAAAGCAAAAATCAGATGATTCAAAAGTCATCAATCATGCTTACTTTTGCTCAGGCTCTCCCATGAATGGGGCCCATCGAATGATCCGTCCTTGTAACGTGTAAGGTGCCAGGCCGTGTTGCTTAGATGGCAAGTCTTGCATCATCTGTCACTCTCAGACAACAACATCCAGTTGCTGGGGTCTTAACTCCATTTCACCTCCAGATAAAACAGGAAGTTAAAATCATGAACCCCGGGAATAAGATCTATGCCGAGGCAATTGCGCAAGATAATGGCAGAGTGGCTGCCAGAACCATCCAAACTCTTAGCATGTGCTATCCAGAAGACATGTCCTCTTAGAATGAATCATCACGCCCCCTATTGGGCCTCTATTTTCGATCACTAAAAGTCTAGACTACGAGCTGGAAAAAGGGCATTCGGACGGTTTGAATCAAACAGTTTGTTTGACTTGAGAGTTGAGACCCATATGATTAGATTACAAGGTTGTTTGTTCGAACCGTGAGAGAAAAAGAGAAAGGCCTGTTGAATAAACTTGGTCGCTTAAGATCACTTTAAGTAAATTGAGAGTATTGTCTGCTTTAAGAGTTTCGATAAGCGTTTCCGGTCAATTCCTCCCCGAAATCATTGTTCTCACTCAAACGAAATCTGGCATCGTGGTGTTTATCTGCAAATGTGTTTAACATCAGTATTATAGAACGAACAGGCAAAAATTGTGTTTACTGATGCCCATTTCTGCAAAAAAAAAAAAAAAAAAAAACACCACCCAATGCAGACTCCAGAATTTTTCCCTTTTTTTTTATATTTTGAGGAGCACAAAGCACTGCTACAACACCCTCTCTGATGTGTCTGTCACATGGGAATGTAACATGAAAAAGCAATCACTTTAAATGGCCAGTCAGCACATCTGTGATGTCTATACCAAACGTGTTTACGACAGAAACGTTGCATAACCGGGAGGGCATTGCATTGGTGATTATGACGGCAGATAAACACCAGAATGCCAAGCACCCTCTGGCCTCTGGGTGAAGATAACTGATAACTATATTTGAAATCTGAATTTGCAAATTAAGGACCATGTCAATCAACATTTGAACCAATAAGCCAACCCAGAGACAGGCACATGGCTTGCTGTCCCACCATCCACAGAGGATTCCACCAGAAGATTTCCTACAATAAAAGCAATCCAATTCTTGGATTTTTCCTGGACATTATCACCAGATTTTTACTACTGCTCCAGGATAATGCAATGGATTGGATCATAATAATGGGTTATGATCTATATGAGCTACCAAGTGGATTTCACTGGAATTGATCCAAGTTATATTACATATATATTCTGATTGTCCGAGCCCTATTGATTGGTCCAGGGTTGTTACTTGGTTATGTGAAATTACGAATTAATAACTGAATAAATCATCACCTGTTAGGGTCATTTCTTCTGCGATAATTAGTCACGCAAATCAACAAGTGCAGTTGTAAAACACACATGGAAACAATTGTTTGCTTGAATCCATTTTAGATACTCAACCGAAGAGAAACCTGTTTATAGTTGCTGTAAAGATTTTTACATGGTACTGGTACAGATACTTGTAGAAAAGAAAATAAAATCAATGAGAATTTTCTTTAATGGTCTATTCTGTACAATTTTTACAAAGACACCAGACTACTCAAATTCGAAAGAACACAAATTAAAGAATAGATAGAACCCGGAGGGAGGGGAGGAGAAAGAATAACTAACACACAAAGCAGCCAAAACAAGGTAAAAAAATGAAAATGCAAAGAAGCTCAGGAAAAAAATGAATGAAATGACTATACAACTACCAAAATAAGTACAGAAAGCTTCATGAGATGCATCTTACAGGTAGGGGAGACAAGGTTGTTCCTGCATACATGGCCTTCAGCAATCCCACAAATTTGAACAGAGTCTCTTCAGAGAACCACTTCAGCTTCCATGTAAGAGATCCCATAGCCATTTTTTCATTCTTGAGCTTGGCCTTGTTCTTTTCTTTCTTGGGATCAGCAAAACAACCTAAATTCTTAGATGTAACCCGGTCTAGGGTCAAGGTGACAGACCAACTCTCCCAGGGCTCAATGATCTGAAAATTGTAAGTTCCATTATGTTAAGCACCATGATACTTTAAATCCGGAGGATGATCATGTCAAAAAACAAAAGAGAAAGAAAGAAAAAAAAAAGCTTCTTACACAGCAAGAGATACTGCCTACAACTATGATACTCTCAGATACAGGCCAAAATTTTACCTAGATCATAGCTATCTAATAATCTATTTTTAGGAAAAGCCAATAGCTAGTGATTCATTGATGTCAAAAAGGCATTCCATATATCAATGAAAACTAGCTGTAGAACTTGGTGGATGTTGGTTATGAATGCAGTATCTTTGAGAGCAGACGCACAGGCACCAATAATACTATACCACATATTCTTGTTGGTTAAACTGGTGAAGGTAATTTATGAGAAATCACAAGATACAAGCTATTTAGTATATTAAGAAATACTGAAAAAATGGCAACCACCAGCAGAAAGATCAATTACCAACTCTGTTATGTTACTGATGGAGCAGCATGAATCTAGGGAGAAATAAGTAGATGATGATCTGTCATCCAGTGAAAGAGAACTGAACCGCACAAGGTCTTCAATGCATACAACCACATACCCTTCAATCACAAATAAGGATCTCAAAAGCCATGGGTCATCTGTCCAAGGATGAGATAAAGAAACGTTAAGAATTATTAACCACAATGAGTCAAAATCCCATTCCATTTACAATGTACATTAGTCAAAACAAAGCATTCAGAACATCATTCTCTTGGATTAGATCATGAAACAGACAAACCAAAGTTTCCAACGTCAATTTGAACAAAAACAACCTTGTGGTGCAAAACTAAATGCACTTGGAATCTAACATTTCTCTAAATGTATCACCACTATCTAGGGCTTTTTTTTTAGGAAACAGTAACTTCATAGATTTAAAAGCCAAAACTCTTCATACCTCATCTCTAAAAACACCCCAAAGTCATACTTTATCTTTTCCTCACATGTTTGAGTGTGCTACTTCTCCCTTTGAGCTTATACATAGTGATTCTGGACTGCATCCATCACTTCTCAACTTGGATACAAATACTTTGTATTGTTCATTGATGATTGTACCAACATGGATATACTTTCTACGCCACAAGTTAAAGGTGCTTCCAACATTTAGATGTTTCATGCTATGGTACAAGTTTGGTTTCAATCATAAGTGCATATTCTCCATTCAAATTCAAGGGGAGAATACACTGATGAGACTTCCTATCATATTTGAAGAATCATGGAATACAAGTATAATGAAGCTATCCATATACTTAGTAGAACGGTGTGGTAGAGCGCAAGAATGGACATATCCTTAGTGTTGTGAGGACATTGCTATAGGAGTCCCATGCTCTATCTTCTTTTTGAGTAGAGGAAACTAGTACAACTGTGTTTTTGATTAACTATATTCCTTCTTCTATTCTTGGTATATGTTTCCCTTTCAGAAGTTTTGGTCGTCCTCCGGATTTATCTATGCTTCATGTTTTGGATGTGTTTGCTTTGTTTATCTTTCTTCTCGTGAACGTTCTAAATTGTCTACACAGTCTACCGTGTGTTCCTTTGTGGGTTACAATATTGACCACAAAGGATCTATTTGCTATGATCCCTTTATTTGTTGTATTCATGTCTCACGTAATGTTGTTTTTCTTAAGCATATCTCCTTTTTTGTTGGAATCACTGGATTGCCTGCACTATCTGTTTCTGTTCAGCCAAACTTTGATTCACAGGATGCTCTACCTCCTATTTAGAAGGACTTTCTTGTCTTCTCTCACAAAGCAATTATGTGCTCCACTTCCTACTCCTGCGACCCCCTTCCTCCCGGTTCAGATCATCTCACCACTGCCCCTATAGTTTTTTTATCAGCAAACATGTATTTTATTTAAATTTTAGATTGTAAGCAGTTTATGCAACTTGGTGATGGGACTGATGATCCCTTTAATCACTCTTTTCTATCCCTCATTACAGTGCAGCCCAAAATAATTGTCATCTCAATGCCCCTTGTTTTGCTAGACAATCAGCTTAACCCATTTGCACTCCTTCGGACCCGTTTAAATTCAGCCTCAACATCCTTTTGAATCTTCTCCACTTCCCTAATCACATGTTTAAACGTTCACGGGGTATGGTTGTTTGCTGCCCAGGAAATTACTATAGTCCCCTTCCACCTCAACATGCCTATATCCTAACTGTTTGGCTAGCTTTAAACCATGTAGTAATGCCAAAAGTTCAGCCTTTAGTGAGTTTCCGGTGCCAACCGATGAGAACATACCCAATATCCTCCTTTTAGAATTTATGAATACTCCTACTCCTGAAAGACCCAGATTTCCAAAGGAGCTTCCATCAGATTTTAGTTTCACTTTATTGCCTTCTGGTGGTTTTCACTCTAGCCTTACTTTATCTCTTACTCTCAATGATTGTGCTACTTCAGACCAGGTTCTTAGGGTCGCACCACTTTCCTTACACAAAGAGCACACATGAGGAGAAGGCAAATGTATGGCCTTCTTCTCTGTAGCATATCACAAGTGTTTACCTTATCAAGGAATATTTCCCAACAGAAGACTTAAATCTTCGGGGGAATAGGCTTGCACTAAATTTCTTTCACAGGGAAATCCCCACCTAGGGGGGTTGGGGGAAGCAAGTACTCTGAAGAAAGAAGAGCAAGAAAAGAGACCGTTTGGAGAGCCTACCCAGATTCTAGAATCTTCCAATGAAGGGTCCAAGTAGATTGCCCTAGAAGGTCTAGCAATCGAATTAAAGTGATACTTCTCTTACCTTTGTTATAAGTGATACTTCTCTTACCTTTGTTATAAGTGATACTTCTATTTCTGCTACTACTTTCTATTTCAGATACTCCTCTTATCTCTATTCCTCCTTGTCATTCTACTCATATTTCTAGACCTCCTAACCACTATGGTTTTCCTTCAAACCATAGCTCCTTATTTGTTGTCTTATCTTCCATAAATATTCCTCGCTCCTAGTAGGAAGCTAGTAGTAGCCCTCATTGGAAGGAAGCCATGGATGCAGAGATTCATGCTTTACATAAGAAAGACACTTGGGACCTTGTGCCTAATCCTTTAGATGCCTCCATTGTTGGGAGTTCTTGGGTTTAATCTAAGAGATCTCTTGATCGATACAAGGCTTGATTATTTGCCCAGGGATATAGTCAAGAGTATGGCGTTGATTATGAAGAAACCTTTGCCCTTGTTGCTATGATCACCATAGTTTGTGTTCTCTTAGCATTGTATGTTGTCCGATATTGGACATTTGCCAGTTAGATGTGAAGAATGCCTTTTTTCATGGTTAGTTGAAGGAGACAATCTACATGAAGCCTCCTCGTAAATATTGTAGAGATTCTTCTTAAGTATGTCACCTGAAAAAATCCCTATATGGTTTGAAACAGGACTCGTGGGCATGGTTTGAATGATTTCGAGATGTTGTAGTTGTTGTTAGATATACCCAAAGTTCCTCTAATCATCGTCTCTTTGTTAGGCAACGGCCTCATGGTATTATCATTCTTCTGTTGTATGTTGATGACATGTTATTGACTGGGAGTAATGATGAAAGTATTTATGAGTTGAAGTCCTTCATAATTTCTTTCACATGAAGGACTTGGGACCCATCACCTATTTCTTAGGTCTAGAAGTTCATCGTAGTGATCGGGGGGGTATTTTGTTTGTTAGCATAAATATGCCTCTAACCTCGTTAAACTTGTTAGCATTACTAATGAGAAACATGTTGATACACATCTGGAAATGAATTTTATCTAAATTTGAAGGACCATTGCTTCTTGATGCTACCTTGTATTGCCAGCTTGTGGGGTTTCTTATTTATCTCACTATGACTCTTCCTAATATTTCTCATGTTGTTCAAGTAGCTAATCAATTTATTTCTACTACTCGTCAACCTCATATGATTGTTGTTCATCGCATCATTCGTTATGTTAGAGGCATGACTTCTCAAGGACTGTTCTCCTCCACCTATCCTATTCAATTGAGAGCATATGTTGTTGATACAGATTGGGCAGGTTGCCCTGACATCAGTAGGACCACTTTTGGGTATGTGTCTTTATGGATGATTCACCCATCACATAGAAGTGTAAAAAACAACAGATAGTCTCCAAGTCTTCCATTGAAGGAGAGCATAGGGCAATGTCTTATGTTCGCAATGAGATTGTTCAATTACAGTATCTCTTTATGGATCTTGGTATTCAATTTCCTACTCCTATTCTTATCTATGCAGACAATACAAGTGCTATCAAGATTGCATCTAACCTTGTCTACCATGAGAGGACTAAGCACATCAAGGTGGGCTGCCACTTTATCCTGGATCTTTTCACTACTAGATCTATATCACTTCCTCATGTAGCACTGGACATGCACATTGCCGATATCTTCACCAAGACTATGACTAGAGCTCAACACCCCTTTCTTGGATGCTTATGTCTATGCATCAGTTTGAGGGGGAGTGTGGCGATTCTGTGACTTATGTATCTTATTGGTATAGTCCCTATTGTACATTACATTACTTATATTCTTTATTCTTTTTTCTCTTTCAACCCTGTATGGGCATTCTTGTAATTGCACATATCTTTAAATATATAAGAGACTCTTTGAGATGGGGGTCAACTATTTTGGACACCTCAAAGGTTATTCTTGTTCTCTTCTCTATTCAGCCAAGAGTGTTGACAACTCTGACATGGATTTTTTCAATTAATAAATAATTAAAATAGGATAAAATAAATAAAGAATGTAGTTAGTATCCCATAAAAATAGGAAATTTATTAGAAGTAAGAAGTTTTCATTTTGTAATTTCAAAATAATAAAATTGTCACATATTGAAGCTGGAGAGGTTGGAGAGGCTGGAGAGGTTGTCTTAATCTACTCTGGCCCTTTAGGAGTTGGGAACTCTATCTGGGCAGAACTGTTAGCTGCAATACAAGGAATACTTCTTACAAAAGAAGTGGGTGTGGAGCAGCTTCAGATTGAAGGAGACTCTAAGACAGTGGTGGACTGGTTAAATAATCCRGAGRRTGTCACTTGGGGCTACAAAAATGAGTTAAAGAAATTCAAATGGCTGACAAGAAATATGTCTATAACAGTACAATGGGTTGGGTGATCAGCTAATGCTTTTGCTGATGTCTTGGCAAAACAA